AGTTTTTATATTGGGTAACTCCAGAATGTCGGCTATGTCAGCTGCAGATAATGCACCAGGCATATCCTGCTTATTGGCAAATACAAGAAGACTTGCCCCTTCCAATCTTTCCTCTTGCAAAAGCTTGTATAATTCTGTTTTGCAATCATCCAATCTCCTTTTGTCTGCACTGTCTATCACCCAAACAAGTCCATCTGTTGACTCAAAGTAATTTCTCCAATAGGAACGCAATGATTTTTGTCCACCCACATCCCATACATTGAGCTTGTATCCTCGATGTTCTAATGTCTTGATATTAAAGCCAAGCGTGGGTGATATAGTATCTATTGGTTCACCATTGAGTCTCTTCAACACTGTCGTCTTGCCTGCATTATCCAAGCCCCTAAAATTTTAACATGGCATTGTTAAAAGCAAATGAAGAAACACATATATATTTCAAATGATTATTCTTCAATCATTTAATACATTGTAAGTTCAGCAAGCGTAATATTTATTAACCTGTGTAAATCAACCACAAGCTAAATATATAAAATAAATATACAAACACAAATACGTACAACATTAAAATTCGCATCTCCTTTTCTTTCTGCTTCAATTTTTTCAGCACCGTTAACAGACCCATTGTCAATCCATTAATTACTCCACGATGTTCAGATCAGTAACAAATAAATGTTTTGTATGCGAACAAAATTCTTACGAGTTTGACAGAAACGTTTCTAACCTCCAATTCAACTTGTTAATTGATCAAATTGCACAATCGGTAAAAAGCATATAAAAACGCCACATCTTGTACCGATTAGGTACTATTATCAAAAATGATCAGCTGAGTGAATATGTTGTGAGTGATGGATATAGGATGTGGTCCATTTGATGCTACAAATAAAAAGGCTACGAAATTTTTGATTGACCAATCGGAAGAATTTTACTAACTAAAACCAATTAAAAAATGCTTCAAAGCATTCGTAGCGGATCGTAGCTATAATTGTATATTATATGTAGAAAAAAATTAGAGTTTGTCATTATCAACTATCGATATAAATTTATCAACCTATAAATACAAATGGCGATAACATGAAATTATGATTCAAAAACTTTCCGATTATTTATATAATTTTATATTTTCTTATATTTATTTATATTTTTTTGAAATACGAATATTCTATTTTAGAGACTTATATTTTATTCACATTAAATTCAATGACAATTAAACATGTGTTCTCATCAAATATTAAAAGATTTACAATTATAATTTCCAATAATTTTTTTGTAAGATTTATGCAAATTGTAAGGTTGCAAATTTTATGTTTGCACGACTACATGGTTAAAAAATTAATATGTAATTGATATATATATATATTAGAAAATTTGTCGTTTTTTTTTCTCCTATAAACATCGCATGAAAAAAAACAACATGAATTTTCTGCGGTAGGTTACCTAATACATATATGGCATACTTTATATATTTAATTATAAACTGTATGGATAAAGCCGGTTGAAAGTTAAATAGTTTATCAAGCAGTGTGTCACCAACTTTACTGTTAATAAATAGCATAAAACTGATACAATAGATAATTTAAAAAATTTGATATTATCTTACCTACAATCTTACATCTATAAAATAAAAATGCAATCATTAAGGATTATTAGTAATGTCTTTCTAATAATACTTTTGCTGCTTTACTAATAACTTCTGGATGACATAAAGCATTGATAAGAGATTCAAAAAATGAGTCATATTGAGGATTAGGTATATAATCTCCAGATGCACTTGTTTCTTCTGATGGATACTTCTCCTTGTCTCTTTTACGTCTTTCTTCAATAAATTCTTTAAATTCATGCTCCTTTGCATCAGGTAACAATTTAACATAATAGGGGTATTCTTCAGCTAATTCTGTTGCAGTTTCTGGTTTAGGTTTAGGTCTTTTTGCTGGTATTTTTGGAACAGTCTCCGTTTGTTTCTCCTGCTCCTCTTCTTGTGCACGTTCAACAGCGCATTCGACCTAATGAAAGAGTTTTTATAAATTAAACATAAGTTCTATCTATATTTAACTAATAATATTGATGTTTCTTAGAAGAAAAAATTACTTCTGTTGTATAATATGTAGTTAATTTATTCGGAAACTGATTATAATCTCCCATCTTGGCTATTATCAATTTTACTAGAGCTTCCTCGACTCGTGCTCTACTATCTATTTTCAATTTTCCCCATATATTAACGCTTACATTGACTTTATCTAAAGATTCCACGTAATGCCACCAACCATTAGGCACAAATAAAACATCTCCAGGTTCTAGAGTTATTAATTTTGGTTTGTCTGGTATATCCAATAAACAATCTTTTTCTTCTTCACTTAAGCAATAAATATTAAATCTGCTATATACAGTCGATTCCTCGTAAGGAAGTCTAACTGGTATCAGAGGAGCATTAGGTGGATAAAGCAACCATTGTTTCCTATAAATAAAATAGGTACAATATAAACAGAGACAATATTGAAACTAAAAAATAATTGAAAAATACGAACCTGCCATGTATTTGTGCTACTAAATTATAACCATAGGTATCCCAATGACAATCAGTATGAGCACCTTTGCCTCCAATCCAAATAGTAGAATGCATTCCATTTTTACCAAGTTCTTTGTCAATCCCAAATTTGAGCCAATTAAAAGATTCTATAATGTCTGTATTATCGCTGAGCCACTCCTTTATGTGCTTATAATCACAGTAATGCCATATATTATTCTGCTTTGTTTCTTGTAAATCAATAAATTCTTGAAATGTTAATTGAATAGGTTTTGCAGGAGGACTCAAGCACCAATGATGATGTTGAAGAACACACTAAAAAATTCAATTGAATTATTAATAAAATTATCAATAAAACCATTAAAATAATATATAAATACAAGTATATCGCTATAACTTACTGTACGTTTGTTATGATTACCAATTCGAAATGGTAACTTCTTATTTCCAAATTTTTCAACTAATTCAGTCAGACCCCACTGAAGTAATTTCCATTCATAAGAATCATCAGAATTTTGTAACATGTTCTGAAACAATATAGGTTCTTCAAGTTCTGGTAGAATTTCTCTCAGAATATCTTCCAAGGGTTGTAAATGTCGACTCATATTTTTAATTATCTTATAAAGTACAATTGTTAAAATTAGTCACTTTTTTTATCTTTATTGAATTATAAAATAATTAATCCTATGAGATTATTGATTTTAATTAAATAAATCTCTCAAACTACATATTAATGTTTGCCTTTCAGATATTATCTTGTGTTTGTAAACTTTGATATTATCTCATTGATATTAAAATATATGTGATAATTTCAATGAATATTCTAAGCCAATGTCTGATTCACACTGCGACATCTAACGTATATATGTATATGATAATATGATATCCAATAAGAAAATTCGTTTATTCCTAGGGTTTCTAGTTAAACATTTTTGTCCAGCAGACAATTCTCCTATTGGATGTGGGCTGTGGTCAAAGTCTCGTAACAAATGCTTTGAAACATTTGATGGACCAATTAGAAGAAAGAATTTTACAAACTGACCAATTAAAAAACGCTTCAAAGCGTTTACAGCATCGCTTCCTCCCTTGGAAGCAACGTGAATTCTGCATAAAATATCAAGATTTGTTTGACTTGCTTGAAATCTTCAAAAACGAGACAGATAGAATTTTAAATTTCGCTTAAAGTTAAATTGACATTGATGCAATTGGGCTTTAATTCAAATGTTAATCTAAATTTTACAAGTACGTTTTTAAAAGTTAAATTTTAAAGATAAGATTTTGGAAGTGACTATATTCAAAAAATTTATTTTTAAAAATTATTAGATTTTGAAATTATTTACATTAAAATGAGATAAATTTATATTCGGGTATTGAAGAGAGAAAACAAAACGAAGGAAGAATTGATCAATCACACTGATCGTATGATCGAATTGTTCAAATGTGATTTGATAATTGTTTCTCTATCCGAAATCTCGGACCAATTTCTAGAATCATAGGGTCAACGCGATGATACAAACGCTTTGAAGTGTTTTTTTAATTGGTTAATTTGTAAAATTCTTTCTTCTAATTAGTCCATCAAACGCTTCAAAGTATTTATTTTGACTACAGCCATAGACACAAGATATTATAGAAACGAAAGTTAATACTTTTCTGTGATAATCGCTGAAACACGTGACTCAAGTCTGCAGCACACTTCTTATTTTCCTGCTGCATTATTGAATTAGAATCTTGCTACCGTATTGGTTACGATGCTGCCACTGACAGCACCGTAAGGTTGTGTTTCAAAATTCACTGACAGCGCTGAGAATCTACAGTTTACGTCACATATACTATACATTTTCATTTCTTAATCCAACAGGAAAATAAGCATTGTGTGTTGCAGGCTTAAGTGGAAGATATATGCTTTCTTTCTCTAATAAGAGTATAAATTATCTATACAATACATTATTTTAAAAATTTTGTCGAAATTTTATATAAGTCTAGATATTTTTAAAAATCCTGCTTTTAAAATTTCATATGTAATTTTATATGTTCTAATAACTTTTGAAATTTACTTTCAAAATCTAATAATTTTTAAAAATAAATTTTTTCAATATAGTCACTTCCAAAATCTTATCTTTAAAATTTTTAAAAGCGTACTTGTAAAATTTAGATTAACATTAAGGCTCAATTGCATCAATGTCAATTTAACTTTAAGCGAGATTTAAAACTCTATCTGTCTCGTTTTAAAGCTAAAAAGAGACAGAGACAGAAAGAGTTTTAAGCCTCACTTAAAATCAAAGTAGTTAGTACAATCGAACCTAAAATATTTGGATAAATATAATTTTTTTGTTTATTTCTTTGAGAAACTAACAGTCACGATATATGAATATCTAGACATGAGACGTACATCGCAACTCGTGAATACGACTAAATTTGGTGTAAGTTCATGTGATAAAACATTTATGATTCATGACGCCGAGTTATATATGTAGTTATATTGAAGCTTGTGATTTTGTTCATAGATTTACATTGCGCAATAAAATAATTGAAAATAAGCAGAAATGAAAAAGCCTCCTTTACACATGCTTTAATGTATGGGATTCAGGCGATACGAAAACGAGGCTAATTAAATTTGGCAACGAAAGGTATATTGCGTTATCAAATAAAGCATGTGTTATTTTTCTAACCTAATTATGTCTTTACAAATGATTATAATGGTATTTCTTGATGTCGTAATATCTCTTTAATTTAGTTACGACATATATCACGACTTTGCATCTTATGAACGTTAAATTATTATAATTTGCATCTATATTTTGACCTCTTTTTCTGTTACAAATTTATAATAACATTCTTGATATTATGTTTACTTTATATACAAATTCTACTGTATCCTGCTTAAAATAATTTTAGACTTTATATAACATTATATTGACAATTATATAATTTATAAATTTGAAAATGAAAGCAACAATTTTAATCTTTTTGTGAATAAAAGTTTTTAGTGCAGTTTAATATGATCACGTTACGAGGAAAACTCAAAAAGGACAATGACATAGCAAATTCAAAGAATTACAACAGGCGAGTCTCAATACGAGATAAATTACTGATCAAAGAGGTCAATTTGACATAATATTTCTTATGTATCATGACAACGATGTAATGTATGAATTCTAACTAAATTTATGTTAAATTATTTTTCTTAGGTACAGGAAATGGAACAGACGTTGCCAGTAACTTGTAAAGTCACATTTAAAGATCCACATTGTCTTCATGAATTTATCTTATTAATTATGCCAGATGAGGGATACTGGATTGGTGGCCATTTCTATTTTCAAATTTATATAAGTGAAGATTACAACATGGCGGTAATTTCATATTCTTTGATTTTTATATGTTATCTCAGTTTACTTGTAGTTATCTTAGAATTACCTGTTAAATCAGTGACATCATCAGTGAGCTCTATAATACACTACTGGAATGCGCCTTTCCTGTATTGAACTATAGAAGATAAAAGAAAATAAAAGAAAACTGCAGCTTGACGGAGAAAAGGAAGACAAACAAATAAAGGAAAACATGTCTTTCTGATTCTTTCCTGCAAACAACATTAGCCAATCAGTGAGTTCTTGATAAAAAACTATCTTTGCATCAAAGGATATGGTCAACATAATGCTTTGAAGCATTTTTTGATTGATCAATTCGTAAAATTCTTTCTTCTGATTGGTCAATCAAAATGCTTCAAAGCATATAATAAGCTGACATTGATGGAAATTTACAGTGGAACAGGACAGTGAGACCAATCATAACTCTGCAGTTATTACTCTAACTTTCCTTTCTACAGTTATCATTGGTCTTGTTGTTTCGTTCTGCTGTAAATTTCTGCTCATGAGACACCAGCCTAAAATTTTGACCCCATCCACAATCATGTCATTGTTTAAGAATTGGGACATCCCCATTCATTAATGGTGCGCTCCAGTATATTATAGAGTTCCAGTATATTACAGCTCACTGGACATAATATGTCTTAATTATAATGTATTTATCAACATATTAAGATATTGCAAAGGAAGAGAAAGAAAAGGACTTTTTCTTCTTATCCCTTCCCTTTAGAAAGGAAAGAGATAAGAAGGAAAGAGAAGAAAATATTTGTCAATATAAAAATCGAAAATTGCGGCTGAATTCTCATTATGTTAAATAATATTTTTCAGCCGCCAGTGGTAAAATGCTTAACGAAGTTATGGCATCCTAACATAAGCGAGGATGGTGATGTATGCCTATCTATTTTAAGACAAAGTAGTATTGATGGCATGGGATGGGCACCAACACGTAAACTAAAAGACGTTGTATGGGGTTTAAATTCTCTTTTCACTGTACGTATACAAGCATTTTCTGTTGCATAATTCATTTGATGGATGCGATTATGTTGAACATATTATATGTGTACATGTGCTTCTTTTAGGATCTCTTAAACTTTGACGATCCTTTGAATAGAGATGCAGCAGATTTGTTTATTAAGGATAAAGAATCTTTTCGAAGTAAAGTTAAAGATTATGTAATGCAATATGCAAAAAGATGATTTATATTGTAACATTTTAATTAACAAATAATTATTTACATTTTTCAAATTGGTTCCGTGCCTCTTTTTAGTATATGAGTACAGAATTTGCTCAAATCTGCTTTAGGTTAATTATGATTTAAATCAATTTAATATTGCTAGTCTTTTTATCTGAAAGAGATTATCATCGCTTTCAGTTTCATATAATTCAATTTTTGGATTGTTATAGCGAAATTATATTAATACACTTTAATTATGATCTATATCATTATGTATGAAGGAAATGTAAACATTAAAAATTAAAAGTACATCATGTGCACAATGTTTTTTTTCTCTTGACGAGACATTGTAATGCCAACGAGCAATTGTAAATAAAGTGGGTGTTTAATATATTTAAGTAACTATAACTTATATGAGTATATATCTTTTGCATAAAACATACAAATATTAAATATGTAAAAAGTATCTCACACTAATAAGAATTGAAAATTACAAGTGTACACACTATTTTGTCACAAGTATTTATTTATAATTTTCGTACAATGCTCGATTGATATTTTTATTAAACTTCAAAAAAAAATTGATTTATTATTTATTATTCCATGTACCTTTTATTTTGATTTATTGAAATGAATAAATCATAATTTGTTTGTGTTGTACTCATCGAATTAATTAACGGACGGTTGAAAAATTTGATTGCTGATGAAGATCGGCGTAACAACACATCGACGATCGATCAACGATTTTTGTTATAATTACAAGTTGTAACAAATAAATAATAACAAAAGAGAAAACAAGAAGAGATAATGTCTTTACTTGTTTCTCATTTCTCATCGTTCCTCCACGCTGTTTAGATATAGGCTAAGCAAGTACGCGAAGTGATATGGCCATGTGTCAGTGCATGTTGTGCGTGCACATGTGTGTTGTGTGTATGTGTACATAAATATAAATAAAAAATTGCAGCTTTCCATCGTTAGAACGTAGTTCGCAGTTCTTCTTGTATACTGGTTGACCTGATGAGTTTCTGTTTGGAACCCAGCAAACTCTCACTCCCTAGGCTATCACTGTTGGAAGCTATCTTCGATTTTTCTTCGTGATATTCTTCATTATATTCCTTCAATCTGTTTCCTAGGAACACAGCCCTTTCGCGTTTCTTAATCATAAACTCTGTCGGCAATAGCCATCGATGTTCGTGACATTCCTCCGCTAATGGCCTTTTGCTAAATAAAATGCATTTTTTTAAAATATATAAGAGACTTCCTATTAAATAAAAAAAATTATTCCACATTTAATATTAAGTTACAAAATATCCGATTATAATAAATTTTTATATTAATCTTGAAAATTTTTTTTTAAATTATTACCAACCTTGGTGCGCGTTTAAAGACCAACATGAGAAATCTGGTGGCTTCTTGGCTCAGCTCTTTATAAAGATACTCGAATCTGTATCTGACAAAGGATATATTCTGTCTGGTTTCATCCACATCCTTACCACGAAATGGAGAAACTCCAGATAGTAATACATAGATCAACACACCGACCATCCAGATGTCCGTTTGCGGATAAACAGGTTCATCATTATAGAGTTCAGGCGATCTGTATTCTGGATGACCCAGATACTTAGGCACCATTGTGCCCAATTTGTTGACTCTATGAGCTGACCCCATATCAACCAATTTCACCTGAACTGATCTCACAGATGACATGACGACATTGTCCGGCTGAATATTTAGATGACAGTACCCACGCCAGTGAAGATACTGCAGACCATCGAGAATCTGCGTAATAGCATTCGCCACGCAGTTTTCTGTATACTCGTGCCGACTGGAGAAGTACGTGAGTATATCGGCACCCTGAAGTTTCTCTATGATAAACACTGCCACAGGTGAGTTGGATGCTTTGTAGGCAGTCTCTAGCATGGCTATCCGTTCGTGTCGCAGTGAACGTAATACTTCGTATTCCTGGTTCACCTGCTTCTCGGTTTCAGCATTTAATTCCAAGATCTTGGCAATGATCACGCGATCTGAGCTCTTATCTACACCCTTCACCACCGCGGAGAATTGTCCGCGCGACAGCTCCGAGATAAAACTATACTTAGTGGACAGTTGCGGTTCCACCAACCATCCAATCGGATTCTCTTCTATAGAGTAATCGATGTGCGGCTTGTCTTCTTCCAGGACAATCTCTTGACCGGCTTCGGTTAGCTCTTGGAGATGTCTCATCGCCCGCGTAATCTGTACTTTTGGACAACCCGGCGGTCGCGTCTTGATTAACTTTGACGGAATGCCCTTTTCGCTCCAACCAATACGGTTACGCGCTGCCAGACGAAAGTTGTAACTTGTATCTTGCTTTAAGTCGCGCACCAGATAGAATTCGTGGTCAATGTTGAAGGCAACGTCTATCCATGCGATTGAATCACCCTCCTTGTACTGTAAATTATAACATAGCACGGGCGAGTTACCATCATACTTCGGCTGCTTCCATCGCAGGAGAACTTCAGTATCCGAAACATCAGTAGCCTAGAAAATCGAAATAATATTTTACAATGCGAAAATAAAAACATCATTTTTGTATATAAATTGATCGCTACTTCAAAATCACTTTAATTATTATACTGTAGATTACCTCTGGAGAATCCGGCCCGCAAGAAACCGTTGCCTGCAATACCCTGGTCCTAACAATTGTTTGTCCTATCGAGTTCCTTGCCACGACTTTATATATTCCGATATCATGCTCTTTTGTAGGATTAAAACTAAGTATAGATCTTCCGTCAGAGTCCTCTGTCACTTTGATCCTATTGTTCTCTTGTATGACCATATCGTTTTTAAACCATTGTATCAGTGGTTTCGGATTTCCTACGGCTAAACAGGTGAGATGCGCCGGTTTTCCCTCTTCAATTGGGCAAATCTGCGGCTTTTCGCGGAAGAACGGAAGCTGACCATCCTTTTTCGATTCAATCATCGCCTCAGCTTCAGCGTAACTATCTAACCGAGTACCTAGTTCATTCTTTAAACGTCTAAGTGTAAACGTGTCCGCAGATCCGTATCGATTGATGCGTGCCCTTCTTTCATCATCGATCTCTTCATCCATAACATCTGTGAATCGACGACGTTCTCGTATGATGGGTGCCTAATAATAAGATAAATAATTAGATAAATATTTTTGAAGATAATATTCTTTCCATTTTAAATACAATTTTTTTATAGCTACCCTCCAGTCAAAGCCGTTGTCTTCGGTAGCAGAACGTGAGAAACCGGGGCTACGATTGCACGCAACTTTCATATATTCGCGCAATCGTACTGGGAAATCGGTATCTCGCAACTGAAGAAGATATGTGTCCGGACCATTCTGATAGCTAAAATATAAATAAAATATAAATAAAAAAGAAAAGAATTACAAGAAATTTGTATTGTTATATAGAATACATTGAATATATGAGAGAGAGAGAGAGAGAGAGAGAGAAAGATTATATAAGTTTATATGATTCGTTTTTTATCAATTATTTGGGTATTTTTTATGAACATGCTATTCGAAATTTAATATTAAAATAAAAATCAGAATTTCTATTTTAAAAATCAAATCCGATATATTTATTTTATAACGTGCTTACTGGCTTTCATTCTTGATTATTCCGATTTCTGTGTCAATTGGTTCCCTGGATGGTATTTGATTTTCCCATGTCCTAGGTGAACGTTTCCTTAATGGACTATGACTCTTGTCAGGTTCGGGTGTAAACTTATGTCCGGGTGGATATACCATTCGTGAAGGATCGTCAAATGCTGTCTCCAGTTTGCTTCTACGATACCATGTACGGCACGAAGCATTGTTGTACCAATCACTATAAAAATGTGTTTCATTCGCGATCAAACTTTCTCAAAATGACATTTTGAGAATAAAATAAAAATAAATGTGTTGTTAAAAGATAATAGTCTGTGCTTACCGATAAAGTTTATAATAATTCTTCAAATTTTCGGAAGGTATCCTGTAGGGTTCTGGTGGCGAGCTGTCAATATAATTAAACCATGGATGAGCCAAAGCAGTCCTAACATCCATTCTTTTATCGACATTGTATACCAATAAATTACGAATAAAGTCCTGCGCTTCGTTCGAGATATTTTTCCATCGGTCATCGAAATCCCATTTGCCTTCTCTAATCTTCTTCAGCGTCTCTCTATCGTTTGCACCTCTAAACGGTGAGATACCCGATAGCAAAATGTAAGTAATTATTCCAACAGACCACATGTCTGCACCGTAGCTAACACCTTCATTATTAGTTACTTCCGGTGCAATATATTCTGGCATACCGTATGCCAAGGTCATCAGCTTTGTTTGCGAAATTTTGCGAGCTAATCCAAAATCTCCGATCTTTAGATCATCTCCTCCAGCGTGGGAAACAAGTAGATCGCCGAGCTACAATGAAAAATATTCAAACATACTAATTTTAGCAAAGATAAGATTTCATGTAGGAATAATATCTATAAGAAAAAATTTTTATTTCTATTATATTTAAATTTCAAATTCTATGTTCGCTTTAAATAGTTTAAGTGATATAAAAAGAAATTGCACAAATCACTGATTATTCGAAAATGTCATATCTCTTTAAAAAAATTTATTTTTAAATGACTTACCGTCAGACCGAGATGTGCGTAATGATTTCCATGTATATATTCCAATCCCCATAATAATTGGCGTATATAACGAGCGATATCTATTTCAGTGTAATGTTCTTGTCTTGTGAGATTGTCCACTAATTCGCCACCGGCCGCTCTAAATTATCATCATTAAGGATCATTGTTCTGCTGAATTTTGATCTAATCGTATTATTTTGACACATCAAACGAATACAGAATAATATTTAATTATAATTAGTAAAAATAATTAGTAAAAAATACTAGGAAAAGTATTTTATAATTATTTCAACATTTATTCTGATGTTATATGTAAGGCAAATCAAATACGGAAATAATAAAGGATACAACTCCATGACCAACGTGACGGAATTATCCGTTTCGAAGGCATCGTGCAATCGTAATAATTTACGGTGATGCAGGTTGTTCATTGCTTCCATTTCATTATACATAAATGGTTTGAGATCACCGCGTCCGTGCATAATCTTAGAAGCATAATTTCTTCCAGTACTCCGTTCGACTGCATGATAAGTCACACCCTGAGTGCCGCGACCTAACTCGTCACCTAGATCATACAAATCGTCAAATGGTTTATCGTGTGGTTTCACATCCATCTTCTTCCTATATGTTCTGTATCCATATTCGTGCTCGTTCTCCTCCACGTGCAACATCACTGAGCAGGATATCGAACCGGCCACATTACCCGCACTGATCGAGTAAAGGCCTTCATCTTTCACAATAGCATCGTTGACAATGAGAGTCGTAATGTCGGGTTC